CGGCCCAGGCCGCGGGGCTCAGACCCCCCTGCAGGCTCAGGGCAGCCGCTGTGCGCAGTTTAGAGGGGTCTCCGGGCCACAAGCGAGAAGCTGAGCAAGCTCAGGGCTGGGTGGGCTCCATCCGCCCGGGTAGGGGGTGGGCAGAGCAGGAGCTGAGGTGAGGGTCACAGGCCTGTCTAGGGAGACCAGGGGTCTGAACGCAGCCTGAGGGATGGAGGGAGAGAAAAGGCACCACGGGGGTGGGGGCAGCGGGCTGCCGCCTTCCCACCGGCCACCCTGGGCCAGGCCAGGCAGGGCCTCAGACCCCAGCCCTGCAGGTGGGCCGGCTGCTCTGGACAGGGACTGCCTGAGCCCCGGGCATCAGGGACCAGGCCTCAGGGCCCTATGCTGCCCACACTGAGGGGCGCTGGCTGACCCCCACACCCAGGCTGGGGGCTCACTGACACCCACACCCAGGCTGGGGGCTGGCTGACCCCCCACACCCAGGCTTTGGGCTGACTGACCCCCACACCCAGGCTGGGGGCTGACTGACCCCCCCACACAGAGGCTGGGGGCTCACTGACCCCCACACCCAGGCTGGGGGCTCACTGACCCCTCCACACCGAGGCTGGGGGCTCACTGACCCCCCACACCCAAACCTTGGGCTGACTGACCCCCACACCGAGACTGGAGGCTCACTGACTCCCCACACCCAGGCCTTGGGCTGACTGACCCCCCACACCGAGACTGGAGGCTCACTGACTCCCCACACCCAGGCCTTGGGCTGACTGACCCCCACACCGAGGCTGGGGGCTGACTGACCCCCACACCCAGGCTGGGGGGCTCGCTGACCCCCCCACACCGAGGCTGGGGGCTCACTGACCTGCGCCCACAGAGCTGGACCTGCAGGACCTGTGCGTGGGGGCGGCCGAGGGTGAGGAGCTGGACGGACTGTGGAGCAGCCTCTTCGTCTTCATCGCGCTCTTCCTGCTCAGCGTGACCTATGGCGCCTCCGTCACCCTCTTCAAGGTGGGACCCTGTCCGCTCCAGGGCCGGGGAGGGAGGGAGACCGGCAGAGTGAACAGAGACGGGCAGGGCCCCTCACACACGCCCTCCTCACAGGTGAAGTGGGTCTTGAGCTCGGTCCTGCCGGGGCCGCCCCAGGCCACCCACGACTACGAGAACATCGAGGACCCCGCGTGGCCAGTGGCCTGGGTGCGGAGAAGCTGAGCGGCCTCGCTGCCTTCCTCCCCCGGCCTGAGCGTCCCTGAGGCTGCTGCTCTGCCCAGGGCTGGCGGGAGCAGACGCACCTCCAACGGGGCCGGGGCTGGACCCAGCCACAGCTCACAGGCATCCGGAAGATTCCAGCTCAGGCCCAAGGCCCAGGCTCCCAGGGGACCCGCCAATCACGGCCCTACTCCCACCCCATCTGCCTCCCTGGGGGGCCTGGGCTGCACCCATGGGGGCGGCCACTCTGGGCTCCCCTCTGGCCCCCAAGGTCGGAGCCGCTCCCATTCTTACTGGACAACTCCTGCACCACAGGGAGGCCTAAAGCCACGGCCTGGCCCACCGCCCCGAGTCCAGAGCCAAACCAACCGGGCCACGGTCCAAGCCCAGCACCCGAGTCCAGAGCCAAACCAGCCGGGCCACGGTCCAAGCCCAGCACCCGAGTCCAGAGCCAAGCCCAGACTCAGAGCCCAGTCCAGCCCGAGGTGTCCCTCCCCGACCTCCCTCCCGGGTCTGAGGGCCCTGCTCCCGGGGCCCTGGGCCCCCTGCTCGCCCTCCCTGCCTCCACCCACCCGGTCCTGCAGGATGTGGAGGCTGAGAAGCCCCTCTGGGGAGAGGCCCTGGGACTGTGTGGGGCTGTGGGCAGGGAGGAGAAGGACTCCCAGGAGCAGAGAAGGGGACCCATAGGTGGAGAAGGGGTCCCCCAGGTGGAGAAGGGGTCCCACGGGTGGAGAAGGGGTTCCCATGGGGTCCACACAGCAGCCACTCAGTCCAGCGGCCCCAACCCCACCCACCACGGCCTCGTCCCACCTCCCCCTCGGGCTTGGCCTTCGGTTTCCTTTCCTTTGGGTTTCTTAGTAAAGTTTATTTTTTTACAAATTCCAGGCCCCCCGAGTGCGCTTTGGGGGTGGTGCCTGTGGCCCCGTGGGGGTGGTCAGACGAGGGGCACAGGGCACTGCTGGGGCTGCAAGGGGCCCTTCGACACCCCCAGAAACACCCGCTTGGCCCCATCACACCCCTCGCTGGTCTGCAGCCCAGCTCACTGCCCCTCCCCACACTGACACAGACGCCAGCACCCCACACCGACCCCCACTGTCAGTGCCGGCCACGGGGACGCAGCTCCCAATCCCCAGGCGGGGCCAGGATCAGCTCCCCCAGCCACCCGCCCGCTGAGCACACACACACGGGCCGTCCTCGGCCGCCGTCCTCCCCAGACAGTCTGGGAGACCTGGTGAGCTGTGTGGGGCCGGCCGCCATCTGCTCGAGAAGAAACCAGGTGAGCCCGAGAGACGGGCCCCCATGAGACGGCCAAAGGGCCAAGGGCAGTGGGGCACCAGGCTGTGCCTCCCAGGTAAAGAGCCAGTGCCCTGGTTGGGGGACCTGCCCCTGGGGGTCTCTGTGCAGCCGCTGGAAATGGGAGGAGAATGCGTGAACACATGTGACGAAGGGCAGGGTTCTCTCACATACAAAGAGCACTCGGGAGCCAATATAAAGAGGGCAGTGAGCAGCGGGTCCTTCACAGCAAGAAAAACCAAGTGGCCGAACGGGAAGAGCAGCTCAGTAACTAGAAAAGGTGCCACAGGAGGAACGGGTCTGCCCTGCTCAGGGTCGCACCCTGTCTGCGGCGGGGACAGTGTTAAGGCCACTCTGCAGGCCCACAGGCCGCCTTGTCAGAGTCCAATGCCCAGGCTCCTGGACGGGAGACTCCAGCCCCCGCCCCCCATGGCCCTTCAGAGAGCCTGGCTACGTGGGGGGCCCGCAACACACGGCCAATGCAGAGGAGGATGGAAACGCCAGCGCGCAGCCTGCCTGGCTCAGACCTGGGCACCCGACCCCATTGGAGTAGAGTGGCCACATCCGGGCAACTCTGAGGCCTGTCCAGAGACGCTGAGGACTTGCCAAGCAGGGCACCGGGGCACAGGGCACTGAGGGCAGGGGGCCTTCCGGCTGCGGCCCGCCCTGCTGTGCACTCACACAGGCTCACTCCACACACACTCAGGACAGACTCACACTGTCACACCCTCAGGGACACACACACTCACACTCACAGACACACAGATGCACACACAGCCGCAGGGAGCAAGGCCCAGCCCACCCCCTCGCACGGGCTGTCGGGCGGAGCCTGGTGCCCTCCTGCCCTCCCCTCGTCTCCTGCCCTGGGAGCCCCCGGCCGAGCTCAGCGTCCTGGCTCTCTGACTTGCAGCCCAGATCATGAGACACCCCATGGGCCCCAGAACAAGGACAAGGGCTCAGCTCACATACGGTGAACTGCGTCTCTGCCAAGCCCAGGAGGGAGGAGGGCGGGTCACCCCACCTGCAGGCCACCCCACCGGGCCCCCCCACACACACACACACACCTGGGCCCAAGCATGGCCGGGCAGGGAGAGGACAGGACCACACCCAGGCCTCAGACCCTGCCACCCGCCTCCCAGCCCTCCCAGCAGCAAGAGGCTGCCTCCTGTGCCCCTCCCCCCACTCCCTCCACTGTTAACCCCCACAGGGGCCTGAAGGGTGACCCCAAAGCTGGCTCCACATCCCCCTGGAACCTGTGCCTGGAACCTCATTTGGAAAAAGGGTCCTTGCAGACGTGACTAAAGTTGAGGGTCTTAAGACGAGAGTACCCCGTGGCCCCCAGTCCGCTGGCTGGCGAGCGTCGTCACGAGAGAGGAGAGGAGATGCGGACACCGAGGAGACAGGACGCTGTGCCCACCGGCCGAGGGACGCACGGAGCCCGGAGGCTGGGAGTGGGCCTCCGGGGGGCGGGCCGCCCTGTCCACATTTTGATGGGCGTCTGGCCTCCAGAAGGAGAATGAATTTCTGTTGCTTGAAGCCACTTAGCCTGTGTCCTTTGTCATGGACGCCGCACGGCCGGCAAGGCTTGGCCACGCAGAGGCCTCTTCTTCCCAAGAAGCCGGGAGGACCCGTCCCCAGCTCTCCCCTCCCAGCAGGACCCTCGAGCAGCCTGACAGCAGCCCCAACGGACGCCTCCTCTTCTGCCCCAGTCACACGCCCGTCTGTACCCACGGTGGGCCGTGCCATCCCTGTGTGGGCCTGGCCGCGTCCCCCCACCACCCCCACTGACCTCCTTGGTTTCGTCCAGGCCAGGCACAGTGCCAGCCATGAGGCCCCATCACGGGTCCCTTGCTGGTGCCCCCTGCCCCCTGGGGACGGGCTTTGGACCCCCTGGAGGGGCATGGCCTGGGGGTTTCCCGGGCAGGCAAGAAGGCCGAGCCAGCCCTAGCTGGTTTGCTCAGTGGCTAGAGCATCAGCCTGTGGACCGAAGGGTCCCGGGTTCGATTCTGGTCAAGGGCACATACCTGGGTTGCAGGCTCCTCCCCAGCCCAGGCCCAGCGATGTGTTTCTCTCATATCAGTGTTCCTCTCTGTCTCTCTCTCTCTCTCTCTCTCTCTCTTCCACTCTCCCTAAAACTCAACGGAAAAATATCCTGGGATGATGGTTAACAACAAAAGAAAGAAGGCGGAGCTGCCGGACCCTCATCCCACGCAGACAGCGCTGGTCCCGCTGGTTCCGGAGGCTGTGTGGGCAGCATCGGGTCAAAACCCAGGCGCCTGGGACCCTGGGGTCCTAGAAACACCCAGAGGTTCTGAAGCGCCCCAGGCTCCCACCTCTATCCACCCTCTGCCTCCGGCTCCGCCTGCCCGGGGCCCCTGACCCCTGTGAGGAGCTGACCTCCCCGGGGCCAGTGTCACTGACCAGCAGGTTCACTGTCTGGCGCGGACAGTCAGCACCTTCTGCACGTGAAGAAATGACTGACGGGTAAACGCAGGCGCCAGCCAGGCCCAGCTGCCCTTGTGTGTCCAGGCCGGGCCACCTCCTGGGAGTGGGGGTCACCGGGGGGGCCCAGGGGGCCCGTGGGAAAGCCCTGGACGGGAAAATGGGCAGATGTGGGCCGAGGCAGCACGTGCTGCCGAACCTGCAGGGGGACCTCACGCCCACCCTGGCTTCAGGCTGGGCCCCAGATGCTCACAGTCATGCTGGGCCAGGGCGGCTCTGCCTTCTTGCCCACCCTGTGCCTGCTCACCGGGGGTCACTCGGGGCCAGCCCTGTGCCTGGGACCCGTCCCCCCTGGGGCCACCTCAGCCTGTCCCTCGGCTCCCGCTGCACTGCCTCGGCCTCTGCGTCCCTGCAGCTCGGCCCCCGGCCCAGCCCCATGAGCAGCCACCCGAGCCAGGACCCACCGCCAGACCAGGCTCCTGAGGGTCACAGCCCAGGCCGCACACACCTGGCCTTGCCACAGCCAGACCACAGACCAGACATGACGTGCAGACGGGCAGCCCAGACTGGTGGGACAGGAAGTGGCGAGTGACCCCATCTAGGGTCATGACACGGTCTGAAGCCCCTCCCCAGGCTGCCCCTCAGTATCATCCTTCCCCAGAGCGAGCGAGAGCCAGTAGGGGCAGGGGTCTCTGTGCCAACAGCCTCGGGCAGGGCAGCTGGCCGGGGGCCTGAGGTTCTCGGCCTCGGACCCTCCAGCAGCCTCGAACAGGTGGGTCCTGGGTGCTGCCCCATCCACTCCTCATCAGGCACTCTGAGCCGTCCTGGGACCAGGGATGCAGAGAGCAGACACCAAGACAGAGAGAGAAAAGGCAAACAGGACCGAGAGCCAAGAGGACCCAGGGCAGGATGCTCTACCCGGACAGGGATGTGGCCTGGGCTGAGCGGGGCTGAGCGGGGCTAAGCTGAGCTGGGCTGAGTGAACTGGGCTGAGCTGGGCTGAGTGAACTGGGCTGAGCTGGGCTGAGTGAACTGGGCTGAGCTGGGCTGAGTGAACTGGGCTGAGCTGGGCTGAGTGAACTGGGCTGAGCTGGGCTGAGTGAACTGGGCTGAGCTGGGCTGAGTGAACTGGGCTGAGCTGGGCTGAGTGAACTGGGCTGAGCTGGGCTGAGTGAACTGGGCTGAGCTGGGCTGAG